ATTTTTAATCAGGTTTGTAGCTTAACAGCACATTAAAATAATTAATTTTATTTATGAACATTTGTTTATATGGCAGTGTTACTGTTATTGTGTATTCTTAAAACTTAAAGCAGCACAAGTGAAGCCTCGGGCAGCCGGGCAGACTCGAAACAAAAGTATGCACAGTACAGCTTACAGGACGTTAACATTATTCTGGATAGTAAACATATACTATGAGACTGATGACAAGGAGGAGTAAAACACACTTATACACAAACACACCACACCAATAAAAATGGTTCTTTGGTGAAGTTAGGCACAAACTGTGTTGAACATGCAGTGCTCTCTGGTTCTGGTTTATATTCAATAAATATGTCATTTGTCACTTCATTTGTTGTACCTGTAGCATTTTTTGTATGTATGGCAGACAGTTCCGTGGTTGTGTTCGGTTGCCAAAAGTGCAGAGTATGACTTTAATCATGAATACAAACATTATATATAAACATGTTATATTTTTGTTTGCTTACCTGAAACTTTTACTTTGTACCAGTGGGACTGTTTCACTTTAGAGTGAAAAGTACACTAACCTGTCCCAGTCCTGTTTTTTCTAATTATCTATCAAACTTCCACACAGAGTATCCAAAACTCACCTGAGTTACCACCCAGCGTCTTCAAAGCCACCACCAGAATCATAAAACCCAAAGAGCACGATGGTAACATCTTCCTGAATTAATAAAAAGAGCTGGGAAATAATCCACCATTCTGGTGCAAATCCCACAGATAATTCTAGGATGTGGAAGTTGTTGGAATAAAGGGAATAAAACAGGTCGCAGGTGCTGCTAATCTAGAGAAAGAAGATCTGACATTAAAATGAAAGTCAAATTTAAAAAAAAAAAACAGGAGGAAACAAATTCTACTTTATGAAGAACTGGTCGAACAACTTCCAGAGCAGGTTGTGGCAAGTGCAGCACATTTTTATTTTACACACAGTTTACGTGTGTATTTGTGGTGCTGCTCTCTGTTTCTACTCCAGTTGTTTTCAGTGTAAACATCGTGCTCCGTGCTCCAAATTATTCACTTTCACGCTGTGGTTTCTCAGATTTTTGTAGATCTTAAATCTGCTAAAATATTGTGCCGTTTTTTTGACATGCAATAATCACAAGACAACAGTACGTCTCAATTTTTGCTACAAAATAAAGAAATGCTGCTGTAATGATTTTTAAAGCCTCTAAATATTGTAGCAACACTTTCTAAAAAAAGAGTTGCTGAACACAAAATTGCCTTCATACTCTTGTACAGCCAGGCCTCCTGTCATTTGTCTGTATCCCAACACAGGGCTGCACAAAAGGTTATACCCATCTTCTTCAGTTAGGCTAAATCTACATTTCCTTGAAAAAAAAATAACACATTTTTATTAAGTATATTCATTTATTATTTTGGTTGACTTATTTAAGCTTTGAAAAATGAAGCACTCAATAACTCAAGCAACCTGCCTCAGGTTTACTTAGTTTCACATTTGGCTGATGCACAAATATAAAGGTGATGTTAAAGTTCTCACCTCAGTGTATAAAATAAGGCAAATAGTTAAATTGTCAATATCTTAATATTAAGGAAAGCTGTCTTCCCTTTCTGAACACCAGGACCAGTTAAACCTGCTACAAGGCCCCTGTGAACAGGGAAATACTGTAAATGTACGCTCTTATTTAACCACAGCTGCATAAACTGTCTAACAGATTGCTTACATGTAGCCATTATAGTTTTGTTTGTTTTTTTCAGCTTGTTAAAACAACTAGTTGATCCACCAATGCTGCAGCTAGTACTGAAAAACACTGAAAGAGAGCGTATATGGGCTTCTCTTCATTGGCCCCTCTGCTAAATCCAAACTCAAGTTTAAAATTCTTCTCACATATAAACGAATAATCAGGCCCCATCTTATCTTAACTACCTTACAGTACTATATCACCCCAATGGAGCACTTTGCAGACTTCCAGGACTGCAAGCTTACTTGTGGTTCCTAGGATATTTAAAAGTAGAATGGGAGGTTGGAACCAGCTCCCAGCTTGGATTCGGGAGACAGACGGGCTTAACAGGGTTTTTTTTTTTTGATAAAGCATATAGTTATGGTTGGATCAGGTGACTCTGAATCTTCCCTTAGTTATGCTGCAGTAGGCCTTAGCTGCTGGGGACTTGCCATGATGCACTGTTTCTTCTTCACTCACCTTTTTCCACCCACCTTTCTTCATTTAATCATTAGTTATTATGTCTGCCTCTCTTCTGTTTTCCTTCTGTCCCGTCTTCCTCACCTCACCTCAAATCAGTTCTAGCAGATGGGCGCCTCTCCCTGGTTCTGCTCTAGGTTTCTTTCTATTAAAAGGGAGTTTTTTCTTCCCACTGTCACCAAACCGCTTACTCTTAGCAGTCCTCTGATTGTTGGGGTTTCTTTGTATTATTGTAGGGTCTTTACCTTACACCGTAAAGCGTCTTGAGGCACCTATTGTGATTTGGTGCTTCATTTAATCCAGTTTTATCATAAACTGATCTGCACAGACTGAGACATGGGAATTCCCAGTAGACTCTGCTTGATTTTTAGTCTTTACCCCCAGTGTACTTTTAAACTGGACATTATTCTCTCACATGCATTTCTGCACAGCAAAGAAACATTAATGAAGCAAGATGAGACTCCACCGATAAATCTCAATAATTTTATTGTCTTTGTTCTCATGATTTTACAAATATGATACTTCTGCAATTCAACTTTAACTGTGCAACACAATGGCATTATGGACTGTTAAACTCGACATCCCGAGGGGACGTCTGTGACTCCAGGAAGCTGTGAATCCTGCAGACCAGAGGGCCTCACTCAGATACATATATATATATATATTTTAGTGTCAGTTTATGAGTGTTATGCAACAAGAGTCAATGTTCTCATTCATCTCCCGCCTGCAGTCTGTCCGCAGGATTCACTAGCAGCTTATGCACACACAAAAAAAAACTATTTTTCACCACTGATGACGGCTACTGTCAGGGGGGAGGAGGAAGCCGAGTGCCTCCCCTCCCTCTGTCCCTCCTCCCCCACAGGTCAGCGAGCGGCTCCTTGGACGTGGGCTCGAAGTAAAGTTGTACAGTCTCTTTGGATGAGGCTGGCGGTACCTGGTCAGAGCTGCAGGGCTGCTTGCCTTTTTAGAAATGGGTGATCTTGCCACGTAGGTTTCAGGGACACCAGTACAGATAATAACAATGGCATGCAAGACTCACATACAGACCCACTTGCTGTTGTTGTTTTTCTTTTTTTTTTTTCTCTTCTTTTTCGGGAGTAGAAAATAAAAAGATCCTGACAGAAGTACAAGCACAGAGCCCTCGCAAACAGCCAAGCGCATCAAAAACCATACGGAGGACGAATGGTGCCTAAACTCACTGTCTCTTTAAAAAAAAACCAACAAAAAAAACAACAAAAAAAAAACAACAACAAAGGTATCGGGGTCCTAATGTGTTACTTAAAACCGTTTCAAAACACAACAGCTGGCTTCTTTTCATATTCAATAATTCCTGTGTCGGAGGGCATAATACATCTTCACATTTATAATATTTCTTCTACACCTTTTTGTTTTTTGAACTTTTCACTACAAATGTATGTGCTTCTGATTTCAAACAGCTCGGGAAAAACTAAAGATCTGTAATTCGACGACAGTCCCGCTTCCCTCCGGCCGATTTTTATTGCAAAATGAAGTGATAACCTCTGAAACAGCAACACACACACACACTTCAATATGGCACAAGCATCTTAGAAATGACCTAAATGCATCGTCGTCGTGGTTTGTCGTGGGTGAATATCAAAAACCAAAACCACACCATATCTAAAAATATTAAGACATTAATCATCAGTAGAGCAAAAAAGAAGCTTTTAGCCCCCCCTCTCCTTCCATGAGTTCAAACATGCAGTCTGCCGCTCTGTAAGCAAAACTCGACCGCCAACTCTTGGTGAACGGCAAAAGAAATAGAATAAAGACATAAAAGTAAACGGCTCGCCTCGACTGTTCATTCAACTTTATTACGGGAGCTGCAGACTTTAAATCCACGCCTTTCTCTGATTGGAGGGCTGGATGACGATTCCTTCACCTGAAAACTGCAAAGTAAAGCATGTAGTGACTAAACTCGTCCGCTTTAACCACGCAAACGGAACAAAAACGAGCAAAGTTCATCATTTAAAGCACTCTTAAGGAGGATTTCCCCCTTTTATCTAGCTTCGTGGATCACATTAAGACATCTGATGTGCTTATCTTCATCAGCTTTGGCACGCTCCGTGCCCTCACCCGCCCATCCATGCGTCTCACTGAGGATATCGCTGTTGCACCTGGAGTGTCTGAGAATAACGAAACCTGAAGGCATTTTCCTCCAGCCCTTTTTTTCCGAAGCCTCATCTACCCGCTCATCCCCCCCACCTCCCACTACAAATAAATATTGGGCAAACTGCTAAAAACACAAGGAATAAAAAACATAAAAGAAGCAGAAATCAATTTAGTGGCCTCGTAGTGTGAAACAAACTCTCAAAAAGTAACAAACCCATCACCGCCCAGTCCTCCTCGTTAATCAAACAAAGTCACAAAGAAAGAAACGTTACAGGGAAGCTTATATTTAGAGTAGTGGTCGTTTTATAGCGGCGACTAAGTCACGAGAATGACCGAGTCTGTCATGTCCAATTTCTTCTTCTTCTTCTTCAAAAAAAAAAACAAACAAAACAAAAAAAACCCACCTGCCTCCTCTTTGCCTCCCTGCTCTTTGCTCTCTTCGCCCGGAGGTGATCATGCTCTGTTCGATCAAAGTCTTTGACCTTTAACCCTTCCCTCCCCCCGCTCCCATCCCCAACAAGCGCTCCTCCCGTTTCCTCTCCTGCTCAGGGAGGCGCCGCTCAGTCAGCGTAGTGCATGATGGACTCGACGTAGTTGCCGGGGAAGAGGCCCGTGGTCCCGTTCATGACGCCCTCGAACCAGCCGTCATCGTTCTTCTTGATCACGTAGATGATGGCGCCCTCCTGGAACGAAAGCTCGTCCTCTTTGTCGCGGGAGTAGTCGTAGATGGCCACCACTGCGGGATGACGGAATAAAATATGGAAATAAAGATGGAGTGGATTAATATTCTGGACTAATATTCAGGAAAAAAAATTTTTTTTTTCTGACAAGTTGTACATTTATGGCAAGAAATCCTTTTCCATTTTTGTTTAATTAATTAAATGAAACCGTCACATTTTCTGGTCATTTTTCTTGCCAAATTGTCCTCATTTACACATTTCTTTCTGCTTATTTTATCAGAAAATATTCAAGTTTGTTTAATTTAAATTCTTCCCTGAATCCATTTTTCCCCTCTTGGACCCGCTAATCTTCCACACTTTCAACATTTTATTTTATCACACACATTTCCTTGACCAGCAAAGGCAGACCTTTCTCCAGGTAGTTGCGTGGGGCCCAGGGCGGGTCCTCCTCAGCGTAGGGGTCGCTGTACTCCACCACCGCCGACTCCTCTTCATCCTCATCGTCCTCGTAGTCTTCAGGTGGCGGCGGAGGAGGCGTGGGCTCCTCAAACACCGGCTCGTCGGCTGGCGGAGGTGGCACGTCTGAGACTAGGAGTAGTTTCCAGGTTGGGCAGTAAGGGGGGGGAGACAACCAGTTAGAGACGAGAAGAAGCTCAGAGGCGGAGCTCTTACAGTCATGCAGAAACAGCCCATGCTGGGTGTTTGTCAATTTTACAGAGAACCTGAGGACAAACATGCTGAAAACAAAAAGTGCACGCAGCAGCTCAACGTGCATTTACAGAAAGACGACACAAACGCCTCATTATTCTCATCATGCTTCGCACTCTTTGCTTACACGCA